GCCCAACGCTTCCCGTTCCCTGAAGCATTGTAGTGCGCAAACGCCGCGGCCGACAATCAGTTTCAAGCAGAGTGTCAAGCTTCGCATCTTATGGTGTCACGCGTGTCTTCGAGGACAGAGGATCGCATCGCGTTTCTCGCCGGAGGGATTTGCGGACACCGTCTAGATGCGCAAGGCCAACGCAAGGCGGCTGGAGATGCGATGCACGCAGGGATACCATCGTGAGTGCCCATTCATACTCCGATCCACCATTCCTGACTCCCGGGACCGACGGCAGTAGATCACTCTGGCCCCCGCGTGGGCCTTTCGACAAACCCGACAGCGGCGTGCTCCTTGGCTACGATAGGATCGATCGGCCCTTACGGGCGGCAGATCTTGAGTGTCTGCGCCCCTGTAGGCTCGAATTCATCACGGATAAGTCGCTGGTCATTGGTCACAAGTGGGCGCCGTCGGCCGTCCTCCTCGTCCTACTATCCTTATTCTCCTAATCGTATCTACCCGTCCGGACCGAACCTGTACGCCTACTTCCCACTTGTGGTATATTCGACACTACCCATTGAACCCAATACGAAGTTTCTGACATTACCTAGCAAAATAATCAGTTCGTGGCGCAGTGCCAAGCAAGACTCTCTTTGAGTCTCATGGTAAGGACATTCAATACCGTGAGCGAGGTGTGCGTGAGCAATTCCCCAGGCTACCCCGCGCGCACACGCACAGTTTGACGGTCTGGTAGCAAGTTCTCTCTACGACGACAGAAGTCTTTTGCGGCTACACGTCTAGCGTCTGCGCTCGCAGTCTGCGAATCACTGAGACGTCTGATATCCTTTGACGATACGCGATGCACCATGAACTCACCATTTCTGGCTTAGTGGTCATGATGATAGACTGGTCCTGAAGAAAGCCCGAGGAATATGGTAAACATTTGGTTCGGTGACTCACCGTGCGCTTGTTGCGCTCATCGGTCAACTGCCTGGTAATCATTTTGAGCCTCTCGCCAGGTTTCAAACTTTCACGATTGAAGTCTCACGCGCAATCACCGAACTCTCGCAAGGTTCATCTGTCGCAGATCCCACCGAGTTATACACAGGAAGCTTCTAGCAGAGGCGCGGAGCCGGACTGCATGAAACCGCGAGCGGCGGTGCGTAACACTGTTGTCGAGCATCATTGTAGATCTGTAAGCGCCAACCAACACGGTGCTCATGCCCACACGTACACCGTTATAGGTGATCGACCTTCTGGTCGAGCACCCGAAGCGTCTACACAAGACGCTCTTCACGCCCTGAGTATCGTCGTGAATAGCGGTGCATGGGAGCTCCACGGCTGAAGTACTACTACGATGGCGTTCTCTTGAGCGATCATGGTGACCCTCTTCGGGACTGTCAGCTGTACATGCCAATTTGGGGGCCACAGGAAAGTGCACTGACCGCTTTTGACCATGCAAGTTGACACACTCCCAAGCGCATGTACCACCGCTGTGCACATAACACCGCGGCGCCATCTATCGAAATCAATACATAAGACGCTCTAGATCCGGCCCAACGTTCATTGGTGCGGTCCACCGGACAGCTATAGTACCCACAATCGTGTAGACTCCATTGCAGGTAATTCTGGGAGATGGACAGATGCACGTAGTCGAGTTGCTCAGTGTCGGAAGTGGCGTGGGCGTTGAGATCGTAAGGCCGGAAGAAACGAGGTCCCAACAGGCAGCGCAAGGGTGGTGCAATGTGTAGCCGAGGAGGGCGTAGGCCCAGGCTTAGTCGCCGACGCAGATAGGCTTTCGCGTGATGAGGATAGTCACACTTGGCTTCAGCGGCATTCCGTTTAATTCTATGTCTATGTGTTTGTAGCGCATCTTCATTCTAGTGGGAAATAGATCATCATACATCGCCAAGAGTAGTCTCAACTTCCCTCTCTCCCAAAACGCTCGACCAGGTCTCGGACTAACGACAGTTTGTGACGTCCGACAGGCATAAGCAAGCATCTGCGACGGGTGTAAGCTGAGCAGTGCGACCCAACCATACGCAGGCTTGATGCCTCACCGAGGCATTCTATGGCGTTGACCGCGCCACATGAGCTACTAACGTTCAGGTCAACGTTGACGCGCGCGCAAACATCATCAGGGAGCCAAGTACTGGTCGTTTGACCTTCGATGCTTGACCTGTATTGGCCTCGACCGTACGATCAGAATGGCAATTACCAGTTATCGCATACTGGCTTCGTAACTGCGTATCCTGAGGCCGGTGTTCCTCCATAGGTCGTTTGCTTTATACCGTACAGCTTCCAATGCAGCGGTGCTTGCTAAGAACTTGGAGAGCCCGGTTGAGGCCAAGAAAGCATGCTGCGATATGAGCGCCTTGAGCCGGGCAACATTGACCGTTACCGGGTGTTAGGGTCTCAAGGAGGAATTGTGTTGGAAGATATGTCCTACCTCTCGTGCGCACGAGAGGTCCTGCTGATAACGCACAGAGGCTCGATCGCTACCTAAACGTACAGGCCATCCGTCGAAAAGAGTAGAGGGGCCAATGCTCGAGCGGCTAGGTGATGGTGAAGTGCTGACCGTCGAGAGATCTCCGTTCGCGAAGAGCCACTTGGCTAAGAACAATGGAAGTCGGACGCAGATGCGAGGACAATAATTTGAATGGGGCGGAGGATGTGAAAGAGACCTGGTAGGATCAGAGCTCGAAGCACATTGCACCACCGGATACGGTAATATGCGAAGGGACGGGGCGGCGCGCATGAGAGTTCGCCTTCTGACCCTGAGATGCAACAGCGAAGCCGCAGAGACAGCGCGGAGAAGCATACATCATGTTACCTCCTGTCGCAGATTCAGCTGTCCGGACTCCGTGCGCATCGAAGTCTCGTCGTCGTAGGACTACAGGCGTCCGGATCGAAAAACAACGTATAGTACAACGAGTTGATGTAGTTACTAGAATATTCATGACTATGCTGGGATGGGTATTCATCCGGATCCTGCTCCGAGCTTCTATTCCTGTCGTGTGTCGACGAGCTATTTGTCGTTGAGCACCACGACCGAGCGCGGAAAGACAAGACTTACCCCTCCCTCCTTCTTCTCGAACTTCCCTTGTAGACTGGCAAGCTCAACTCCAATGCGTGTTGTGTACAAAAGTACGGCCAGCAGGTTTGTAGACGGTCATGAGGGGCATCAATCAGCGAATGCCTATGAATATGATCATGAACTAGGACTAAAGCGTGAGGAATTGTGATGCACCTTTTTGACTTCATACTCTCCGTCAATTGCTCTTCTACGTGTTCACGAACCGCAACTAGCCTCAGTACGTTCCGAATATTATTTCCGAAACTCGGGCACAGCGGCTTGAGCGTGCGTATGGAGGACATGATGAGAGCAGAAGTTAAACCGAAGATCGGCGCTCAGCGCTCAGCGCTGACCGGTGTCACGACTACGTCCGCATGTTGCTTTCTACCGCCATCATGTTCACTGGCCCTCGCGGCTATCATTTCAAACAGCCACGCGAATGTCATGTTTCCTTTGGGACATATCGTCACCGGATGTACTGTATGATCCCGAGCGAATGTACGAGCCGCTACACAACTGCGTGTCGTGCTTGATCTACCGAGTCCGCGCAACCTATTCAATGGCTCGCCCGCGCTAATGATACGAATGCCGTCGCGAATGCTCGCTGACATACGCGGGCCTTTGTAACTCGGCCGCTGCCCCGGAGCGCGTGCTGCGTGCTGCTGCTAGATCGCACTGAACCACCATCTAGGGGGCTTGACGATGATTTCGATTGTCCGCGCGGTAGCGCTTGCCCTGCGTACGGCGGCGGGGTGACAGCTGGACGGAGAATCG